AAAGAAGGTAGAGAAAACTTACTCCTATTGCATTCGCTTCCACCGTCATAGTAGTAAGGAGAGTAATTTTTGTATTTTCGCAAATTTGTAGTCGATTTTAGTGGGTATTGTAGTGAAGTTGATGAGATGTAAAGGAGGAGAAGAAGAAGACTTTAATTTCAAATGGAGAAGAAGGGTTTTACAATGGAGAATAACGAGAGAAATGAGGGAAATTGGTAGATTTTGGAGTTAAAAAGTGAAGGGCAATTTTGTTATTTTACCAATTAAAATATTTTGAATTTTTTTTTCCTTTTAAAATGGGTCAAAGGCTATTTGTCCAATATTAAAGCTTGGCCAGGCTATTTGGCCAAATTTCCCAATTAGCTACTAGCAATCCTGCATAACTTCAAAACACAACTTAAGTAAGATAATCGCTAACGATTCCTAAGGTAATGTTAACGTGGTAATGTCAATTGTTGGTTCTTTGACTTGTTTAGTTAGCAAGGTTATCGATTAGAGTTTTCCACAAGTATGCTAGTGAGATAATGAGTTCAAAGAGTGTCAACAAGCATAACTTAGGGTTAATTGTATGTAGAGAGTTGTGAGTATAACAATAAAGAGTTAAGACGAGAATATCGATAAATCTTCATAGAGTTACTGGATGTTAGGAATATGGAGCTCATGAGGTACATTCAGTTAAGTTGATCGTATCTTGGATTTATTGTAGAATAAGGTGCGATAGAGTAATGCCTCTTACCGTAGCCTCTACTTGCCAGAGTCCCGAGTGTTAGCAATTTCAAGTGGATCCCTGAAGTTTGGGCATTTAGGTGTTTGTGAACCCTAATTTTCCCACTTTATCTGTCAATAAATGTAACTTTTTTCTCCAAAAGAAAAAGCATAAACTATTCCACCTTTTTCGTTCTCTCTCGTCCATCTGAAAAATTTCCCAATTGCAAAAGATAGAGATTATATTATTTCCGAAACCCACAAAAGCTCTTCAAATTCTCTCACGCTGTAGAGTTTTTTTCTGCAGATGCCACTACCATTTTCAAATAATCAAAAGAAAAGGGAAGAATTGGAAAATGCAGAGTGGAAAATTCAGTATTAGTGCAGAAGATCTATCGACGATCGGAGGAATAGCAACAGTATCATTGCTACATTCATTCATACCGACACATTGGCTGCCTTTTTCAATTGTTGGCCGGGCGCAAAAATGGACTCTTTCTCGCACTCTCCTTGTTAGTAAGTATCGCTATATACGTGTTTTGTTTATGTGTAATTATACTGTATACATCCTGCTGACTGTTAATTGTAAAGTTGAGAGAGGGAAATATGTGATTTTTGTTAGTGGAAGGGAATATTATTATATTATTTTAAAACTTCCTGAGTGGTTGGTGAGATCTAGAAGTACGCCGCAAGGTTTTGTGGGGAAAATGGAAGGGTCATTCATGGGTTGATTGATATGAAGATTTTGTTGTGGTTTTTAGACGCAGTACAATTGATTGGTTTTCTGGTGACAAGATATACACGAGGACATGCTGTTTATATGGTCAGGATCAAGACGCAAGGCAGTCATGGTATTAAAAGTCATTACAAGCATGTTTGAGCCCCATTTTTTTGTTTTTATGAAAATGTATTTTGGAATTGTATTTTGATGGAGAATGTGCAGTTAAAAAATAAGAAAAAGTTTTGGGTTTGCCACGATATTATTTTATTGAAAAATGCGTGGTTTAAAATAAGAGAGAGAAAATTATATTTTTGAAATAATAGGTACCAAACAAGGGCTACAAGTTGTTTTCTAATTAATTTGGATAAAAACAATCCAAACAATACGAGTTAAGAAGCTTAGGAGATTGTGGAGTTCAGTCAGGTTGATGAATTGATTGGTTTTCTGGTGACAATATATATACATGAGTACATGTTGTTTATATGGTCCAGATCAGGATGAAAGCAATTATGGTTTAGAAGTCATTATCTCGTGTTTTCTAATTATTCGGATAAAGCAATCCAAACAATATAAGTTACGAAGCTTAGGAGAATGTCGAGTTCAGTCAGGTTGATAAATTGGCAAGTTATGGTGGCACTTTTGGGCATTGAATATGGTTAGATACTGTTTGTGGTTACCTCTAGGTCCTATGTTCTGTTGTAGTGGAATGACGTGAGCTTCAACGGGAGGAATGCTAGTGACAAGACTTTTCAGAAGGAGGTATCATGTTCCAAGATAAAGTAAATAATCTATTTTGTATTTTTCCTTTGATACTGACGATGTCTAGTTCCTCACGACCAAATCCTGAGTAGTATATGGTAAGTTTCGAGGTAGTCTTATTAACTAGAGGCATGTGAGTCACTGGATGTGATGCTTAAACAAGGTGGTATTCTGCAGTCGTGGCATCTGTTAAGCTTGTTTTCTCTATGAATTATGGGAGAGGTATTGAGTATAGAATAAGGTATCAGATGAAGGTATAAAATAACCCAAATAAGGAGATCAATTGTGAAAGCTATCTTAAATACTTCGGAAATCAATGGAAAAACAGAGTGAAAAAGCTAGATTTGCATATGATTTTTCTTGACTTGACGAAAATGTAATGATATGATGGCAAGTGAAGTGCTATGGTGGATTATGGCGAAGTAGGTCATTTCTATTAGATGTCTAAATAGTTAATTACTACTAAAGATATGAATAAAGGAGCATCATGA